ACACAAATTGGCATCATAATAATTAATTGGAATAATCAAAGGAATGGCTTTACTGATTAGAGTGAGGTCTAAATGATGTTATATTTCTAAAGAAGCATATTTATAGTATTTCAAGTATGTATAGAATCAAAAACTGCTGTTATCTGGAATAGTTCTGATGAATAGGTTAAAAAAATTACCTTTAAAAGTTTATTTAGTTAAGTCATTCATCTACCTCATGATAATATTTACACTATTCCTTGGCACAGAAAATCCTTATTATTAAGATTATTATTATTAATATCATTATTATTTTGATTAAGAGTGATAGAAATTGTGACCTAGTTCAGGTCAAATGACATCGACCTACTAGTGTTTATATATTTTTATCTTCTAACTTATGTGGCCCAAATAAAGATTCCTAAATATCATGAGGCAATTACCATAATACACATGGATCTCAGTACAAAGTCACACAGGAACAGAGCAATAATAATAGGAAAGGCAAGAAGTTCAAACGTCACTTGAGGGATTTCACACACCATGCAAAGTTCTGAGATCATCATATCCTACATCACCATAACGAAAATGCGCTGGTGAGAAAAATCTGAATGGTGAAGAAAGTCTTCCTAGGTTAAAACTGGTAACTTTCTAGAAATACTGCACTGGGGTGCTCCTCATTTGAAGCAAAACATAACTGTCATTTGCAAATGTTCCAACAGACAAATGGCATAAGAAATAACGGTAGCATTCTCAAAGAATTCTCACCCCTGAGGATTATCCAGAATCCCCCTTAAACCTGCATTCCATATTTGCATCAATACGTTTATTAGCGGTTCATTAATTGGCAGGAGGAGGGAAAAGCAGATCTTGAATGAAGAAAATGTCTGATTGTTATGCAGCTGCTGACTCTGGTCAGTGGTCCTACACTGTGAGGGCCATTCTCTCTGCCAGTCTTTTGATTTTTTCCTCCTGTTGGTTGCCTCATGAGGGCAAAAAGACTGCTGTAGCTATCAGCATCAACTCTGCATTCGGAATAGGAAGAAGGCGGAGAGAAAATGCCAGCAATACCCTGCCCTTCGATCCAAAAGCTAAAGGTCTCCAAGAAGGCCTGGTGCAGGTTTCCGATTTTACTTGTTAGCCAGCACCGTTGGTGGCCACTCTCAGCTGCCAGGGAGGCCAAAAAGGAGAGCACAGCACCATCCTTTCCAGTATTTATAGTGGGAGGTAGACAAAGGCACCTGGCACACTGGACAGTAAGAATGGGGTCTTGCTTCCCCAAGAGACTGAGAGAGTGGAGGGCAGGGAGCATAGCTGATTTATCTCTGGCTTCCCCAGAGTTGATCTCCAAGTCAAGAAGAGCTTTGGCAAAGAAAGGAACTGAGAAACCAAAGTGATTTAAAACAAACAAACAACAGTACATCAGTTGTGGCAAAGACTTGCTGTCTATTCACCCAACCTGTTTCCTCTTCTTCCCAGTACACAGCTAGACAACATTCCCTAGCCTCCTGCATTTCATAGATATGTGCCACTCCCAGGCCTGCTCCTTAAAATGCCCCCACACATGATACCTCATGTTCTAGCCTCTTCCACCAGCTTGATGCGGACAACCAAGGCAGCCTCGGAAGCCAGGTGTGGAAGATAGTGGAACCACGAGATGGAGGGAGCTTGGGCCCCTGAGTCACCACTTGGAAGTGAGATGCCTGCTGATCTGGAACAGCCATGTTGGACCTTACACAAGCAAGAAAGAAACTTTTACCATGTTTGAACCACCGTACACATGTGGGATTATTTATTACAGGAGCTACTGTTACCTTTAATAATACATCAGTCTAAAACGTATACATCTCAGAGTCTGAGAATTTCATCCACATCTTTTTGGCTCTCATCCCAAGTTATACATGTTGGTTTGTTTCAGAGCATGACAATTCCACAAACCAGGAAAGAAGAGCATAAGCCCGTAGGTCCAGCCCAGTTGTCAATGTGTACGCAGAATCCACAGACTCTTTCCCACCGTGTGTGAGGTACTCAGAGATGTCTTGGCAGCCTGTAACATTTCTAAAGTTTGGGTTTTCACATCTTTTAACTAGGCACCTTTCATCCAAAAGCCCTTCTGCACACTCCATGATATGCTTCCAGGGAAAGTCTAGCTTAATACTGAATGGGGAACTTATCACACCATCACCACGCTGCCCTGCGGAGCTCTGCTGTCTCAGTTTCAGAACCCTGGGCCCTTTCCTCTTCACTGTTTGTCTGCATTCAGCCTTTCTCCAAGTGCTGTTGTGAGGAGATGCATTTTGCAGCCTAAGAGTCTGGTTTTCATAAGTTACTTTGAGCCATATTTTCCTTGTTCTTCTGCTCCTAGATGGAAAACAAATTGCATAAGGAAATGGCTTTATAGTACCAGTCCTTAAATATTTTACAGGCAGAAATCTTGGTGGGTGGTTTGGAGGCTCAATTACCCTTCTCAGTAGAGGGTATAAATATCCCTGAGGGTTTACATAACAAACTCGGGGGGGGGGGGGGGGGCCCCCCCCCCCACTTAAAACTCTCAGTATTTACATCTGCCTCTGAAACTTATGACTCAATGGCATTTGAGCATTCACAAAAGAGTAAGGCCAGCGCGACTGCACAGGTGTTAAAACAAAAGCAATCTATCCATCTACTTATCTATGGAGAGGCACAGTAAAGACAGCTAAGTCGTTCACCACTATTAGGTGTAAGACATGATATTGAAAGTTGCTCTCTTGAATATGGTTTCTGGGGGAGAAAAACAGGTGAAAAGGGAAGTCTTTTCAAGTGTTAGCTTCTTAAAAGGAAAGAGTCAGAGCAGATCTGTTATAACACAGAATTAATTGGCCATGGGGTGTTGTTAAAATCAGAATATGGATTATTACTGCACCCTGCTCTACTTCATTGGATCCATCCACAACTCTTTGAAGTAAATACTATTATCCCCACTTTATAGATGAGAAAACTGAGGCTCAAACAGTTTCAGCAACCTACCCTGGGTCAATGAACTAGTGTAGAGCAGACATAGGATCTGTACCTAGGTCTGTTTTAGCCCAGACCCTGTGCTGTTTCCACTTTATCATGCTGTTTTCTCTAACTACCAGGCCACAGGATTACTAATGTCTACAGAGAAGGGAGGACTTCTAAGAGGAGTCGAGAATGCCCCTACGATGGTGCTCCTATCCACACTTCTCCCTTTTGCTATTGATAATATAGAAAAAAGAATACGGCAGCCAGTATGATCGGCCAGCACTGGTGGAGCCTCACAGTTTGAAAAGTCCAGTGTTTGGCTCCCCATGGAGGTAAAAAAAAAACCAAAAGGCAGCCCAGAAGAGCATTCCTAAGCTTAAGGAGATCTGCCCTGTAGAAAAGAGAAGCTGGACAAGGAACAGGTAGAAAGCCACAGAAGAGTGAGGATCCAGTGCAAAAGGAATCCTTGGGTACCCAGAGGCTGGGGCCATCAGACTTTCTGAAAGATATCAGTTCTGATTGGTGGCTTAGAAAGGAGCAGAGAGAGGATGGATTTTTTTCAAATAGAAAGGAAAACATATCAATAGACATCCTCCCCGAAAAAGTCAATTCCCAAAGAAGTGTAGGAAACAAACAAACAAACAGAAAATGAATCCAAAGGTGGCAAGAGTCAGGGTGACTGATGTCACTGAGTCAAGTCATTTTATATCCAGAAAGACAGGGCGCTCAAAATATTCCAATACTATTCACAGAGTTACATGAAGCATCTTCTTCTAAATCCTAAGAAAGGGAGGAAGAAAGTCTCAGTGCTATGTCTATTTCAAACTTTAATCAGAACTAATTTCAGCCCCCTTTTCCTTATAATTCTGAACAGAGGGAAAACAGACATTAATTAAGCAAAGTTTTATCTCTTTTTACTCTAATGAAAGCCAAGTTACCGCTATATTTTTCCCCAAGATTTTTCTCCACTTAATGAAGACATTATCCCCGAGTTTTCAAAGTCACTTTACAAAAGAGCATTCAATAGCCATTAAAGTCAGTTTAAACTAAAAAGTCTTTTTGAAGTCAATAAACAATCAAAGAACAATGAAAAGAGAGCCTTTGATCCTTTCTTGGTCTAAAGTCTTTAATTTCTGTTTTAATCTACAAGATGTGTAAGTCTTGTATTCAAATGTACTTCACCTCTAGAATATAGTAAACTTGAATCAAGTGTTTGTTTTATAATCCTCTCCTCAAAATATGTATGCATGTGTGTATATGTACATATATGTATATGTGTGTAAATGTGTGTGTGTGTGTATATATCACACATGCACATACATACATACTACATATCTTGTTAACATGGATGGAGGTCAGCAGGAAGTTCTCCACTAGAAAGGGAAGAGAAAAGTTTTAAAATTATTTTCATTCCACTTCTTTGAAAATTAAAAAAAAGAAAAAAAGGAAAATGGAATCTTTGGCTTTGAAATTCAGGATAAGATCAAAGACTATAATGCACATAGATTTTTCAAGGTATACATTATTAATAACACAGGCAAACACATAACTAATCAATAGCGTGGTCGAGAAATGATAAGGTAAGCATGTGTCTCTGAGGCTCTGTGCATAACACCATGCGGGGCAGGGACTGGGTTCCCTCTCTAAGATCTGTGTACCCGGGCATTACACGCGGCCCAATCATTGCCTCGCGTGCTACAGTGGTGGGATTGTTAAGTGCAGATGGAAGAAAAGGAAAAAGCAGCTTAATATTGCCCCATGTGCCAAAACGTCTTTCCTGTGCGTTAATTTCTTTTCCTCTTTATTCAGGTGAAACTCACGTATTATAAAATTTAGAAGTGTATAATTCAGTGGCATTTAGTACATTCACAATGTTATGCAGCCACCACCTCTAGTTCCAAAACATTTTTATCTCCTCATAGAAGACCCCATACCACTTAGCAGTTTCTCCCCATTCTCCCTCCCCACAGCCCCTGGCAACTAGCAATCTGTATTCTGTCTCTATGGATTTTCCTATTCTGGATATCTTACATAAATGGAATCATAAAATATGTGACCTTTTGTGTCTGAGATGCTAGTCTGTTTTATTTTAAAAATAAATTAAGCCCATCTGAATGCCACTCTGATTGTACAGATCAGTTCCTTAAAGAGAAAAAAATCCATGAAATGTAGAATACTTTAAAAAACCATAAATTGATTACACTACTAGTGCCCTCTGATGACAGGTATTATTTACAAGGAGCATTTATATGGGGAGCTTATTACCAAAACAGGCTGTGTAAGTGGAAAATATTAACACATTCCTGGAAGGCATGTTAAATTAAGAGATTATGGGTCCATGTGGTTATTAGTGAAAAGGCACATTATTCAGGGATATTGTCCCAACCTCTGAGCTTGGAGTCATGGGATAAAACAGACAGTTCTTTAACAAATCTTCCCTCAAGGCCACTTAAGGAAATGACACGGTAGGCTGAGTGGTTTTTAGACCTAAATCAGTATGATTTCCAACCCAGATTATTCATCCACTTTAGAAATGAGAATTTTTATAATTCCACTTCTCCTTTCCCTGATTTTCCTTACTGAAGGTCCAACAATGTGTCCTCAAATCAGAATGGAGAGTGCAATGTCCATTTGTCCAACAAGGGGACTGAATGGGGACCCAGACAGAAATGACCGGGAGGGGCAGCCGTTGTCAGACCTTTAGAGAAATGCCAGGCCTCCCCAGGAAGAATGGGGCAGAGCTTCTGTATTCACAGATAGAGGGGGGAGTACTGACAGATCTGGGTTCCAAGCCTGCCTTTGTTTCTGATGTGATCTTTAAACTCAGCTTTATCATCTAGAAAATGGGGATTACTATGGCAATTAAATGAGATATGGGCACACAGTAAGCACTGAATCAATTCTAGTCACCGGGCACTATGATTCCTCTTGTCACTGGGTGGAGTTGCTCTGTGTGGACCACAGGAAACAGCGAGCGTGGACTTTTTGCTATGCTCTCAATTAGCTCTTTAATCCCTACCTTTCTAGCTTGCTCCCCAGCCCCCTTGCTCTCTTCGACCCTCCTTCTCTCACTCCACCTCCTCTCTGTCTACCCCTCCAACTTCTTCCCTCCTTTTTTCTTTCTTTCCTTTCTTCCCTCCTTTCCATTCTGTTTAGTATTAAATTACCAGTGTGCCCCTTGGCCACAATGCTCTGTAATGAGCCTTACACATCAGCATTCCTTATGCCACATCCTTCTGAAAGATCAGTCAGAGCCATTCCCAGCCCCCTGCCAGGCCCTCAGTGAGGCAGGGGTACTCTGATCAGCTCCATCTACTCCACAACAGGCCACTGCCTGTGCATGCTAGGTTCTGATCTCCAGACCCACAAGCGGATATTTGAGTTCCATGGGAGGGAGATCCCCTTGAAGAAATGGCAGCTCCACCACCACTACAAATTGAACATGTCTGTCCTGAGGCCCAAGGCCCATACTGGAAAATCGGGAGGTCTGACTCATCCTTTTTAATAGCCAGGTGACCCTCTGCAAACTGGGCCCCGTTACACGCTCCTTTAAGCTCTTCACTTGACCATAAACCCTAACTGATGTAACACACATGGGCCCTGGGGTGAAGCAAGTGTTAGAACTGCCCAAGTTTTACAGACCAGGGTGAGAACCCAATGACAAGGCTTCGCCCAACAGATTCTACAACCACAGAATCAAAAAAGATGAATTGAGAACCTACTAGGTACCAGATTACTAAAATGCATCCATGCACATTGTCTCATTATTTCATCTCATTGTTGGCTCAAGTCATCGTGCAAGCCTTACTCCACTCAAACAATGCAAATGACCAGTCACCTCTGTTTATCAATAGCGACAGCCGCTCAGCATGTCTGGACAACACTACATAGCTTCTTCCTTTATGAATTCATAGAATAATTATGCTGCAGAGCCTAGAAAAGTCTCCGGCCATGTATACATTTGCAGCTGGACACCTTGTTTTTCAAGGGTTGCCCTTTTAGCCAGCCTGGCATTTCATTAAGCGTCTTTTAAGAATTTCTTCAATTAGCCTTCCCCATGAATGGACACCACCTACACACACACCTGCAAGGGCACCTCAGACATGGGCGTTGCACTTGAAATATCCCCGTGCATCCAGAAAAACGCCAATCTCAAATGCAAAATTCCCCAGTGCCACGTATTTATTTTCTTTCATGTTTTCTTTCTGGCAGAGCAAGACCAAATCCGTTACTGTGAACACAGAATTGCAGTGGGATATGGATTTGACATGAGGCAAATACCTTCCCTTTGCAAAGGCAAATAAAACAAAAGTTCAACGAGCCTCAAAGCCAGCGTGCATAAATGTCAGGGCGCCTGGAAAGAGGGGAGAGATCAGAGGACATTTATGAAATCACGGTTCTCCCAGGGCGGTGGGAAAAGGTTACCATGGTGCCTTCCGAGGAGGGCAAGTGCTGGTGCCCAAGAAAAACAGCAGGGCCAGGGCAAGACCCCGGGAAGCAGCCATGGTTTGGATGTTCTCGGTATGAGTGTCCCCGTGCCCGCAGCCTCGTTTCCCAGAGCTAATCAGGGGAAACGGAACTAGTCCAGGCGGCAGGGCGAGTTTACAACAACTGACAGTAACTATAACATACGCCAGTTTGTATTAAGATGTTATTGCACCTTTCCAGTTCTAATCACCAATTATGACTCTATTACTCCTACTTGGCAGTTCATCTGCTCCTGCCTCTGCTCAGGGCGACTTGGAGACGGACCTCTGATCTCCCAGTTCCACTTCAGTGAGCGCTCAGCACGGCGGCTGTCATCTGCAGACACTGAAGAGGTAAGGCATCGCCTCTGCTGAGATAACTGTACCTGACCTTACAACAATTTACTAAGGAAATACCTGCTTAATAGCAGTGTGAGTACACTTTCCTTTACGCTCGCCCCGGCACTGCAAATTAGCGACAACAGGATAAATCTATGGCCAGCTCACTAGACACTTCATTAAATCACTGTTCTCTTGCCTTGTAGCGCACTAATAGAATCACAGCCCTCGTTAGCTACTGAATAAAAGATCAATCACACACTTTGAAAGCTCTTGCTACCAGCTTCCAGAGGAAACAAGGCAAAAAAAAAAAAAAAAAAAAGGAGAGTGAGCAAGAGAGAGAGATATTTAGGATCATCGCTGAGATTCTGAATGGCCTCGCTGCAAGTTGCTTAAATTACCTTTTCCACAACTGGCTCCAACTGCAATACTCAGAGGAACTTGTTAAGCCTGCTTTCAAGAGCGGGACTCTAATATATGACTGCTAGACCCTGGTCAGAAGTTCATAATGTGCATATGTAAAAAGGTACTAAATTGCCTGAGGGCTAAAACCAGAGGAGTTTAATTGTAGCAAAATGCGGAAAATGGTCTGTTGAGGGTCCTTCTATTGGGAGACTGCTGGCTTTGGCTGATTGAAGTACAGAACATAAAAGCCTTACAACAATATTTCCTTAAATGCTGGGGAAACTGCCAGCAGTTGGTATTGCATGAATGTTGTGGTTAAAGAAAAACATTTTCCTCCCCTAAAATAAATAGAGTATTAAGAACCGCTCCAGCCCATAATTCTAAAGCATGACGGAAAAAGGGAGGGCTTCACGATAATAAATAAGGTATAATTCACAGGGCATGTCCAATCTCTTCGCAGTGTATTTTTACGTGGGGCACATTGGAGGTATTCAGGCATGACCTGTAAGGGATTTTGGACTGAACGGCTCTGATTTTGAAAACAGCTTTGTGCTGAAATAACAGCTGCTCCGGGCTGCCTGGCCCGTCAGTGGGTTAGCCATACCCATGTGGGGATCCTTGCAAAGGGCCCTGTTGGGCTTGTCTTTATTTCTCCTTTCAGAAAATGAGATCTCGAGTCCCAACTACACACACATTTGGCTTGTCTGGATGGGTTTCTTAGGCCCAGAATTCTCTACCTTCCCCAAATACATTGCCACTTTTCTTCCCCCGCTTTCTGGCCTTTCTAATTAGTTCCTCATTTGAGTAAATGATAATGCAAGAGCAGTGGGTGGTGACTCAGATGCTAGGAGGGCCTGTGGTAAAATAGAGGACACCCAGGAGAAACCAGAATTTGGTAGGTGAGCTCTCTGATTTAAAAGAAGTATTTGTGAAAGTAAAAGTTTTCATGGATTGTGAAATAGGCACTCACGTCATTTTATCAGGTTTTTAAAAAATATATCAAACATGGAATTCTGCACATTTGTGGTAGCACCACACTCACATGAAGGCAACATAGTAACGATCAGCTAGTTTGAGGACCACCAGTGCTGTGCCGGATGCCCACTAGTGAAGTATGAAACTCAGGCTGTAGCATGGATTGCATCTGTGGCGAGAATTTGATAAATGAGATTAGCAACATCCACATCCTTACTGATATCTGGCATCAGCATTATTCTCCAAGGAAAACACTTCTACTCTTGCAGTGAGATGCAAGTGAGGCTTCCTAATATAACAGAACAAATTAAAAACTCAACTCAAATAAAGCATCAGTTTAATAATTAATATTGACTTGCTCAAGGATCACTCCACCTTGTAGGTCCGATCTTTGCTAGGTCACCTGGATTGGTTCACAATATATAACAGTTCATATTTTAAAATGGGTCAAATCTACTCTTTGGTCTTCAAAGGCAGGGATGTAGCAGGTCACTGGACATGTCTGCCATATGCCATGGCAGTTTTCTCTCTTACAAATCGCAAATCTGAGTTATTCAGGCTGCGCTCTACAAAAGGAGCAAGCAGCTTCAGAACGGCTAGTCCAGATTGATCCCCGCCCTATGCTCTGTAAGGGCTGGAGAAATCTGTGCACTGGAAGCACTAGTATTTAAGGAGGAAAGGAGAGAGAAGGCCGTAGAAAGAATTCACTGAAAGATGGCTTATTAAATTGAAAACATGAAGGAAAATACAGAGCACAAACTGGCCCACTGCAATCAGGAATGTTAAATGGCAGTGTACTAATACGCTACAGTCCTTGACTCCTTCCAGGCCTCAGGTCACATGTCTCAAAGGGCAGGACTGGACCCAGCCTTACAAAGTGTCCCCATCCTACTCCTGACCACAGAGGTTCCCAAACAACGGAGGGACAGGCCAGCTCCTTTCGCAGTAATATTATGCTTGACTCACAACGCCAGTCCCACAAAACCATGCTTAGCCCTGGGATCAGTGACAGAGTCCCCAGCAGCCTTGACATGTATAGGAGCACACACTTACAGAAGCAGTAAGCTGCAATGGGGAGGGGACACACGTGTGAGTCAGATACTCAGCTCAGCCTCTTATTAGCTGTATGACTGAAGCAAGTCACTCAAGGCCTTGATTTCCTCATCTGTAAAGGGGGCATAATACTCAAAACTCAATAGGTCCTGTGGGAAGTAAAGTAAGTAAAACAACATATAAAAAATACCTGCCCTATTGCCTGGCACTCAACAAATGCTTCTTCTCTACCCTCCTTGAGTAGCACCCAAGTAACTCTGAAAATAATCCAAAGGACGCTCAAATGAGAACACTAGAGACAGGACCATCCTAAAACATAGTTGTGGTTTTCAATACGATTTCAATGAAAAGCCACGTGAACTCTCTGGGAATCAGAGTATTCCAAGAACGTCTTAATCTATCTGATATTGTCGCCCACACTTAAGAGTCAATTCAAATATGGGAACGAATAAGCCTTATTATAAGTTAATAGAGTGCATTTAGATGCATGTTTACAAGCTGATTACCCAGAACCTATTGAAAAACACGAAAATGATGTTTGTTACTCATTGCTTCCCTCCTAAGCCAGCTTCTTAAAGACATACAGAAGACTTCAAATGCTACCTTGAGAATAAATGGGTGGCTTTTACTTTCTAAGGTAACTAACTGACACCACACCTGTGTGACATGCATTTCCATTTCTACATTGTTGCAAGTAGATCCCACCCCCAACCCAGCTCCATAACTGAAAAGTAAGGATGAATTCTTATAAAAAGACACAATGAATGTGCTAAGTGATAGCAAAGAAGTTAAAGTCAAGGGAGCAAAGTGACATCCAGGAAAATGATGGCATTCAACTTCATTCCTGCTGAAAACACTGTGGTTTAATACCACTCATAAAAGTGTATACTAAAAGATCCTAAAAATAGTAATAATAATAAACTAGCCCTGATTTTAAAACCATCAGCAAAATCCCCATCACCCACAGATAGAGCTGCTGTGTGGACCGGGTTTTACAGACACTAGAGAAACACAGCTTGCTGCAGGGTTACCTTCCTGGGAAGCGAGCAGCCTGACTTTATGAATATTCTGTGTCATCTCCATACTCGGGGGTCCCTGTGTTTACCTCTTGGCACATCGCAGGAGCCTGGAGTCCTGCAAGCCAGTGGTTTCCAGCTGAGTGAGTAAAGGCAGCAAACACACTTGATTAATTCAGAGAGAGAAGAGAGAGCCAAAGTGTCTGTTTAGTCCTCTTCTGAGAGAAAATTACTTTGGATTTACATAAAGAGAAACAATTAGGTATTTCTCTGTCTCTCAAAATATTCTTTAAACTTTGCTTTCTTGAATTTTCCTAACTGTGTATGTCAATAAAAATACGTATACAAGGCAAGCAGATGTCTCCTATGATGGCAAATCTACCTGTGACATTCCAAGCTCTATCACCCACACACACCCCCATAGAGCTTCAGAACCCACCCTGGTTAGAAGCTCAGGAGCTGTGGCTCTTTGTCCTGGATAAACAGAAATTACTGAAACCGAGAGGTAAAGAATCAAAATGAAATGGCTTCTAGAACTGAACAATGTCAATCTCTATAGGCAACAAAGAAGCATTCCAGTTACTACGCAGCTAGACTTTGGGATAATTAATTAATAAAAAAGGCAAAATGAGGGCAAGCTCATCAAAGACGGTTCTGAGATGTTCCGAAGTCAGTTTAGAGGAGCCTTGTCATGGAGCAATGGGTTAGGAGAAAGTCATTCATTATTCTATTACATACAGTTTCTTGGGATTTTAAAATTGTCTTGCAATTTTTCATTTGTAACATCAAGTAGGCCTTCTGGCTGAGTGAAAATGCAAATAAGTCACTGATATTATTTTTAAATACTTAACTGCATTTAAACTAGAAGATGATTTCCAAGAATATCCATTGGCGAGTATCAGCAGTCTGTAAAAATGGCACAGACAAGTGCAGAAAGTAAATTTTGCCCCATAAAAAGCCATTGATGCCTGATAGCTTCCAGTTAAACCATGCACCATAAATACTTGCATGCTCATATTTCAAAGAAAATGTGAAGAAAAGCAAAACTAAGTGAAATGGTAGATATCACACATGACCTCAATGGCTGGAGAAAAGGAAGAAGATGAAGAGGAAGAAGAGTAGGAAGTTGCTTCTCATGATGAAAGATGAAATCCTGGAACATCATGGCCCCTTCCCCTCAGGAGACACAGATTGCCAACTAACTGAAGTGTAACACAATGCTTAACTGCTAGACAGCTTCGAAATATCCAGTTATGCAAGAAATATGTATTCATTCAAAAGACTAGAGATGTCACGTCAGCTAAAACATGAAATAGGTGGAAGTCTCATAGTGCAGTGAAAACCGTCTTTCGGTGTGAACTTGAAACGGTCTCTTGACATTTCAGGGTTCAGTTTCTTAATCTCTAAACTAATGGGCTTATCCTAGATCATCTCTAAGCTTATGACAAACTGGCCGCCTGAGACCGCTAAGGGACGCCTCCATTCATCCTACTGCTTGGGAATCAGTTCGTCCAAAGTCATCTGCTGGCTCCATTTGGATACTGTAATCCATCAGTTGACTAATATCATCCCTCTAGGTTATAATTAACAGGAGTGACTGACCTGGGAAAACTTCAAGTAGTCATGTAAGTGAAGTAAATTAAATACTGAGGTGAGACAGGGAATGGAAATTGTTGGAAATTAAGGCTTTTTTCCTCGCTGGACCTCATAAGGATGTACTAATCATTCCATCACTTTATTTTTTCATATTCTACAAACTAATTCCACCCTGAGCCTACACACAGGTGAAACATAGCACCACCTATCAGTATCTGCCAGTATTCACGTGAGTTTATATATGTATTCCTGGGTATGTATACATATATAAATATAGCTAGACATATACATTTTTTAATGTCACAGTCCTTCTTTTATTAATTCTAAAATATTAGGTGGTTTACATTCTGTTTATTTTTCAAATGCTGAATAATATAATTTTAAATGACCATATATGCTATATTTGTAAGATAAAAAACTTTAAAAAAGTTTAAGTCAAACAATGCTATACCAATTAAACAAAATAACGAATTGATAGGTAATGGGAGAAGGTAAAACAAATACTGAAACAGAGTCTGTAGACCAAGTTTGACAAGATCAAGCAGGGCACCCTTCATCTCTGGGGGATTCCTCAGTTTCCTCATCTGGAAACAAGGGAATGTGACCTCCAGCATGGAGTCAAGAAGGTTCCTGAGTCCAGTGAAAGCTGCTAAGTTCACATTCCGTTTATATGTACCCTCTGTGATCCCATGAAAGTTATAAAAGCAGAGAGTCTTGTAAGAAGGGCTATTAAGATTTCCCAAAAGAAAGGTTAGTATGTGGGAGAAAAAAAAAAATGTGACTTCAAAAAAAAAAAAAACAGGTTTTATATTTTCATCCACTAATTTGGTGGAATTCACTCTCACTCACTCAGAACAAATGTGCAAGTCATGAAGCGACGTTTGTAGAGTGAAGCTCTGTACCCTAAGAAAGACCTGTAGTTAGTCATTACTTTGAAAGAACCAAGAGAACAAACAGCAAACCTGGACTGAATGAAAAAGCGTTTTGCCATTTTATTCAAAGTGGTGAAATGGCAAATTTATAGGAGAGCTTTTGCTACCCCTGGATAATCCTGCTTTGGAAGAGCCGTCATCTGAGATCTGAGGAAGGCCCTGGAAAGGCCTTTAATGATGACAACAGTAACAAAACAAACAAAAAGGGGCAGACAGACACACAGCCAGAGAGAACATTACCAGTCTGTCTGAACATATGCCACCTCCCCTAAGTGCACAGCAGATTACAATCGTAGGATGGGCACACATTGTATGACACTTCAGCGTCGAATAAACCATCCTTCCAGTGGCCTCGTTCAAGACAGTGCTTGCAGAAATGCTGCCAGCCCACATGGGGATGTGCATCTTCCCTGTTCACAATGCAAGTAGCTCTTTATAAGGATGATCAGTCAATGCTGTGTGCGCTAATTTGATAGTTCTGTCATCAGACGGCATTGCAAACTTCATTACATATTTTCAATCAGGTTAACATGGTTTGTTAATGTTGGTATTCACTAAAAGGCCACAGCTATTTAAATAATGAATAGGCATGATAATTTTTATACATATTATAGAAGTGACACGTGGATATTCTAAATATTCTCTTCTCAGAATCTATCTTACATCATTCATTCAGTGTCATCAACAAAAAGATATATTAAGATGTTTCTGAGATGCTACAGATTCACAATTCTAGTAATTACTTATAAAAATGAACAACATACCTATCTGAAGGAAAAATTCTTTAAATTATGTTAAAATATAGTCCCATATCACCTCTAACAGATATCCCTAAGGCAAGAATTTAATGCTCCTGCTTTAAAAAAGAAAAGACAGGATAATAATTTGCTATGCACTAAATAAAACTTAACTTCAGATATTTTCCTTTACTTGTTTGTTTGTTTATGCACGCATGTATATATGGACATGTCAACAAATTCACCCACAAATGAACGTATTCTTGCCCGTTTATCTCCCATATTCAGTTAACACATCAAAAGTTGTTTCTACTTCTACTTCTGCAATATCTGGAGCATCATTTCTCTTGCCTCCTGGCCCCCAAACTGTCTTTGTACAGGCCGACGAAATTTCTAAAAGGCCAACTCTTTCAGCCTCTCTACTGGTCTCTGTGCTAAAAATCTCTTCACTTTCCTGCTGCCACAAAAATGGCCTCTCTGAAGCCCAGACATAACTTGGAGCCAACAGAGGCCACGGGTAGTAGGAATTTAGAGCTTGGGCGCTTCACTCCACCCCACTGTCTTTTAGTTATATGGCCTGGAGCAGGTTATTTATTCCCGCCAAGCTACCTCCATAATAACAGGGAATACCACTCTCAAAGAATCAATGAGAGACATAGATAAGGTACACAGCACAGGTCCTGGCATATAGCAGCAGCTCAATAAATGTTAGATTTTTTTGTATCATCATCATCAATTTTAATATGAGATCATACGATCCTGCATCCTTAGCCAGGCCCCCAGTGGACTCGTTTGTCTTCACCTCCTGCGAGGCTCACCACAAATCCACGTGCATTACTTGAGCCTTTGCTATAACACTCATCCTATTTTGATTTAAAATTTGAAATTTTGTTCATCAAGATATTTTGGCATTAATTTTGATTTTCTGAAACATTGTATTAAAATCTTATTTATCTTGATTACTGAGTTTTTTAGCACCCCCTCTTAATTTTGTCCCTAATCCTAGCCCTACCATTGCTGCAAAGTCTACCTAAATTTTCTCCTTTTTTTGTCTCCATGTTCACCTCCCACAAATCCTTCAAGGCTCAGTAAAGATGTCAGTTCTGTTCCACAACTTCATCTAACTACGCTTGTATCTACCTCCAAGACAGAAAAGCATGTGCCCAGTGGTCCCTACCTCACCTCACTCTAGCATTTTGTATATCTCTGTCCCTTTTAACGCAAGTGCCCAAAGGCCAAGGATAATGACTTACTCACTTTTGCATTTTCTACCCGTTAAGTCAGCACCTGAGGCACTCAGTGAACGTTCATCAGATGGGAGCAGATCGGGCAGTTCTAGAGCAGCAATTTTCAAAGGATAGACCGTGATACACTGAGTGATGAAGCCAGTAGTGGGTGGTGAAACTGGATCACAATCAGCACTTCAGAAAATGAAATAGGACCAAGAAGAAAACAGCAGAGGACATTGTCCATAGTCAGAGTATTATTTCATAAAATTTTTGTTTCAGACATATATACACCCACACATATATATTCTACACACAGACACACGGACATGTATATGCATAAGTATATATGTATTAGGTTGTGACATAATTACTTTGGCAGTAATCAAAAAAAGTTCGAAAGACACTATTCTGAAGAAACAATAGGACATCTTGACCTGTCACATACTATTTGCCCTGCCACAACATAGAAAACGCCAAAGTTCCAAAGTCATCCAAGTCTTTGGAAGTTTGGGAAAGAATCAGATTAGCAATATGTACAGAGACCAATCCTGGGTGACTGAGAAATTCTAGAATATTGGAGTGGAATTGCTGAGGAATTTCTTAGGTACTAGCGAAGAAATAAGTATCAGTCTTTTATCAAATTGATAACATATATTTCTGGTTGAAATATTCATCATAAACATATATGGAAAAAAATCAGTCCTGGTAAAAAGGGTTTCAGTAAAAATAAAAATTTTTAAAAAGCTGCACCTTAACTATCTTTGTACTGTTTAAAAACTTGATCAAGTTATTTAACTGACAATGGAATTCACCCTATAGTAGACTCCCACACACAAAAAATTGATTAGTGTTGATATAGTTCTGATTAAAATGTTTTATTCATCAACGTAGAGTTAAAAAAAAAAAAAGCCTCAAGATCAAAATAGCAGGTTGAAATAGCTGGTTTTATCTCCCCCTCCTCCTAAACGCATTTTCTAAGTATACATGCCTATTTGCATGATATAACAAACACATTTATTGAGTACTTACTGTATGCAAGCGTCCATGTGCGTTACCATCCCTAGCTCCTGTTGACTTTACAAAGCATCTTAAATTAATTGAATACTAAATAGATCAATTTTTCACAGATATATTTAAGATATAAATAGCTCATTGGAAAACAACAGTAGGCATAGCGGAAAGAGAACACTCATGAAACAGAAAGAAAAAGGCCAAAAAAGGAATAAATATATATTTATTAGGACCTTGAAAAATCGTGGTCACATGTATACACATATACAAACACATAGTATCTGATTAAAAGATTTACCAGCTGGGCAGCCGGTATACTGCTTGATAGCAATCAATAACTAGTATCATGTAAATATGAAGAAAAAAGTTGAAAGAAAGGTGAAAGCCTTCCAAAATTCTGAAGACAGGATGTTTTTATTAAAATATCCATTTTTCCAAAGGGTGTTGCATAGTCTTTCTTGTTGAGTGTAGACAACACAGAAATATATCTGAATGTACAGACCACGATAAAGTTGCTTTTGGTCTAGTGTTATTAAGGAATTCCATGGTATATGTCTGTACTTCAACCTAAATTTATTAATTCATATTTGACCTGCTTCCAAAAAGGAGATTTAAGGTGACCTTAAGAAAGAACAAGGTGAACAAAATGTATAAATCACTAAAAACCAGAGCAATTTGTTATGCTAACCATTAGGGTTAATACGGTTCAAAAAAGCACAAAATTGAAGTAGGAGCTCCAACAACACATTTTGTAATTACAATTTTAAAATGAAGCAGAAGGTACTGTGGTAGTTCCACAGAGGTTCTGCTTGGAGCTCAGAGTTAAAGGGCACTTCTTACATGTAGTGGCATGGTTTCACATGTTTTGGGGTCAAATGACAGACAATATCCTTGACAACAGCTTCCTGTACATCCTTAGTGATCAGTAAGATTTCAGAAAGTTTACATTTACTGGTAGGCTACACAGAACAGCAGCATTTCTTGAGTGTCTACTATAAGCCCCAGGGTTGAGTTATGCCTTAATCTTCCAACAATCCAAAGATGTGGGAACTAACTATGTCTTCCATTTTACAGAGAAAAGGAAAACTCGAGGCCCAGAGAGGTAGTGTGACTTGCCCACAATGACGGGATCACTAGAAGGAAGGGCTGGGATTTGGAGCCTGGTTTCTTCACTTCAAAGCCCAGACATGGCCTTTATGCCAGATCCCAATGCATTCTTCTTCAACAAAACAGATCAACATGCTCTTCTCAGCTCCTACCCACCTCATGCTGTTGGTAGTGGACTGTGGGAAATAAATGAGATGACACATGGAAGCTACTTAGAACAGGGCTTGCCTGGTACAGGTGAATCTTAACAAATGTGAGCTGTGGCTTTTGCTCTTATTGGGTGACTTTGTCCCCTAGGCCTGCAGAACATATCATATACTTATTTGGGGAAAACTCATAGTGAATCTTCTATCCTGCATCAAATACATGTCAAGTCTTCACATCACAGACTAACACGGAGGAATGTCAATGGTCAGGTAGACTTGGCAAAGATAAGCTTAATTTTTAATTTTTAATTATCTTTAAATTTTGGCTTTGGATGAAAAAGGCTTGCACTCTGGGTTCAAATATGAACCCAACAGAGCCTTGAGCCTGGCAATGAGACAAAATGGCATTGGAAGATGTGAGATACACACTTAAGCCAAAGGGGAAAGCAGACCACAGCAGGGACCTTCCAGGTTCAGGAGAAAGGAATCCACTATGTTCCCCTACTTTTTATCCCCAAGAAATAGGCCATCTCATTCCTAATGGTTGGAACAGAGAGGACAAAAAGAGAAGAAATCTCTATTATTTTCATGATTGGGTATACGCCAGAATCTAATTCTTTTGAAATAAGTTGCATTTTTTTTTCCTTTTAAACATCTTCTTAATGCTTTCTTTATAGGAAATGTGCTCAGGGCTAACGTGGAGATTTCAGCCATGCTAATTTCATTTCTTGGTCTTTTATGGTTATCGAGGGTCAACAAAGAGACAACACAGAACACACACAAAAGCCAACAAGAGATGTTATGTTCTAAGACAGAAAAACAGACTTATTGCATTCACCTGCCTAGGAATATTAAAATATCAAAAAAATATTAAAGTTCCCAGATTTTCCAGGTTTTTTTTCTTTCAAAGAGTGAGAATACTAAGAAAACATTATGCAGGTTTCAGTAGTTGATATACGGTATTTTTTTTGGATCTAGCGAATACACCTTTTATAACTTTTCTGTGAAAGGAGGGACTTTCTAGCTCAGATTACTTGGACACTCTTACTGTTTCTTCTTCCCTTTTTTGAGCAGTCAGAAGAGATTTCTTTCAGTACTTCAAATAAATAAGATATCCAGCTGAATAAACACCATACATTCCCGCGGATTACTTTGGCTTCTTAGAGAATATTTCACTTTCTTTTTTCAAAATGTAAATGATTAAAGAGACCCCATCATATGAAACTCAGGGATGAAATGTTCCAAGTGGTGCAGATTCTACACAAGGCAGAACGTGGAGAGGCAAAAGCCCCCACAAGAGCTGGATATTTCACAGGCAAAATTAGAACTCCACTAAAGAAGATACCTTAGTTGTTATACATTTTAAGAGGAGTGGCTTTATAATATAAACACATTCAAAAATCACTCTGTACAATATTTTCTAAAAACAGCAAAGTAAAAGATTTTTTTTCTTTCTTAGATTCCTACTTAAAAAAGCAAACTCTAAAACAACAAGAAAAAATCCTAAAGACTATACATAGTCTGGAATAAGAATAATATTCTACATGGGCTTTGAAATGATCAGTGAGTCCTATCTAGCTTTATAGTTTAAAAAAAGTCCAGGTCTTTGGCCAATTTTTGAAACTCAGATCAAAACTCGGCAAATTTTCTTTAGAAAGAAAATTTGGGCCATCGACTAACACAGCTCCCTCTACTAAAGCAGCATGAAAACAAATACTTGACTTTTGGAAGCATAATCCACACGTTTCTTTATTCTTTTCACAAGCTTTCTTATTTAGAGGGCTAAATCTTACCTCTCATCATGAGGCAGAAACGCATAAATATATAAAAAACAAAATGGGTGCATCCGGTACCTCTCTCAGCCCAGAAAGAAGAAAGACAAGTATACAGAAAGGATGCAAATAGGAAAACAGCAAGGAAAGGACACACGTGTCAGTAACAACTGCTACGGCACAAGGCCAAGAAATACCCAGGCCTAGGAGGAAACCTGGCACCATTTACCCCACCAAGAAGCACTAAAAAACAAACAAAACTGAACTTGTAAAGTGGGATAGGCAGCCTCTAAGACGGCCCCTGTGCTTTCTGCCTTCCAGTATTCACCCCACTGTGAAATTCCCTCCCTGTGAATGTGGGTCAGACCCAGTGGCTTGCTTCAAACAAATAGAATGGGCAAAAGTAATGGGGTGTCACTTCTGTGGTTAAGTTACAAAGGACTGTGACTTTTGTCTTGCTGGTAGACTCGATTTCCTTCTTGGCTTATACACTTTGATAAAGCAAGCTGCCCTGTTGGAGAGAGGCCTATGTGGCAAGGACTGAGAGAGCAGCCTCCAGCTAAAAGCCAGAGAAAAAGTGAAGTCCTCAATCTACTGGGCCACAAGGAACCGAATCCTGCCAACAAGTGCATGGGCTCGGAAGTGGACCCTTCTCCAGTGGAGCCTGGACATGGCTACAGCCTGGCTGACACCGTGATTGCAGCCTGTGAGGTGACCCTAAAGCAGAAGGCGCTGTTAAGCCATGCCTGGGTTCCAGACCCACAGAAACTGTGAGATAAGGAGATGGGGTATCGTATTTATAAAGGGGCGCCGGCTGAAGTAGGTGCTTGTGAGAAACAAATCCTGTATACTGGGGCAGCTTATGGCCCGATTCGACCCTGCATCCCTTCATTCTCCTTCAGCACCATTTTTGGCATTAAAATACCCATTCTTTTGTAAAATGGTGGTGACAGTTGATTGTGCTGGGTTTGTTTTCATCCAGAGTTTTCAGAATACAGAATGTGAACCTGCGTTAGTCTCCCTTTTGTATTTCCTTTTGAATTATATTATTCTGTAAAATCCAAAACCCATGGAACAACTAGCCTTGGTTAACTGACTTATTTTACAGATAAGAAAACTGAGGCCCAGAGAGGGTGAGTGACTGGCTCAGGGACAC